CCCGCCTGCTTCGCATGCCTTCGTAGTGAGGTGGTCTGCACGCTGGGCGCGTATTTCAGAGCTTCGTAGTTCGATTCCTGGCGAAAGCGATGCTAATTTTTCATCTGTCAAAATTTGTTTCAAAATTTGTTTGTGTCAAAATTTGTTTCATCTGTTTCAAAATTACCTAATATCTCTACTGTGACGCCCGAGCTAAAATGATGATTCTCTACAGCCAGGATTTGGCTACTGTGTCCCTTAAAAACCCAGTCGCCCTATAAAAAGGGGAATATATAAGGTATTTCTCTCGCCTTCTTCGCACGGCTTCATGGTGAGGTGGTCTGCACGCAGGGCGCGTATTCCATAGGTTCGAGGTTCATGGTTCGATTCCCGGAAAAGACGTTGCTAATTTTAATCTTTCCGGTCTCAAAATTAAATAATGTCTCTACACTTTCTCTGCTGCAGCCCACCAGCTGTCTCAAGCGGTAAAGACGTTGAACACTGGTAGTTTAACTTGGTTGTAATGGCCGGCGAATGGACTTTCTGCAAAGTGTTTACGTGTGTTCCGTCTGTGTAATACGGATACGAACCAGTTCTTCTAGAAAGTCCTTCACAAAAACATTCCTCGTCTATAACACTGCACGAGACTGTGTAACGAAAATTCTAAAGATATGTTCTTTTTAAATATTTTTGGATATCGAATTTTATGGCTGAAGTGCGAATAACATGATATTTAGCAAATAAAAATAATACACAAAATGTTAAAAGAACGCCCATTTGGACGTGGGGCTCTTGCCATCTTTCACTATACAGCAGAAAGGAAGAAATATCTACTGGAAAACGTAAGAGATAAAGCATTTACATATTTACATGCTCATTACAGTTGTTCTTATGATGCGTATATATATATTGTTGTGTTTTTTTATTCTTCTGACACCAGTTTTTAAGTTATTTTCTTCCTTTACGTTCGTATGGGATTCGTAGATTTGGAATGAATAACAACGACACTTGATGAAGTATCGAAACACACTTTTATTTGCCAGTATTGTCAGGACAGCTCCAAAATACGTTTTTACAGTCGTTGATTAACTACTATAAACACGCTGACACGATCAGCGACACAGCCTTCAGGTTATCAGGCTATCCCGGCGGAGCAGAAAGTAATTTCACGGCGGAGCAGAAAGTAATTTCATTCAGCTTCACGGCAAATCACCCGACTCTGCTTGGTCGTTCTCGGAACTCTCCGTACTCTCGAGACTCTCCACGCTACAACTCGCGATGCACTTGACAACACACAGAGCACAGCTCAAGACTCTTCGGTTCAGTCGTTCCCGGAGCTCAACACGCTCTCTCGACGATCCACTAACACGATACACTAAGAGACTCCTTCGGTGCACTCGACGACCCGCTCGGCACTCGTTGCCTGGCTGTCAACTCGATCGACTCCGCACGGCTCGCTAGACGAGGCACACTCTCTGAGACACTATACGAACTGCGGACCAGCAGGGTTTATATAGCTTTCGGCTTGTGTTCGAGAACATTCTGGGCTAAACCGGTAATAATTCGTTCCAGAAGGTTCTCCATCCGTCCATGGCATATCGCCAATTTAGTCGCTAAATATCGCCCAATGGGCGATTTCCCGCCAAATGTGGCAACCCTGCCTTCCCTTGTCATTTTATGGCAACCCTAAAACTGCTTTGCGGGAAAGCTATCCCACCGCGCCTGTACATTTCGTAACAATATATTTATTAACATTTCTTAAAAGTTCAGGCATGCCTTAAAAAATTATGTAGATTTAGTGCTCTTCTATATATCAAATTTATCTCTTAATTAAGATGTCAGAAGATTAAGCATTTTATCCCGTTCTCTTTAATATTAATAAATTTTGATTACAAAATCATCTATTCTTTCTTAAACTATTTCTCCCCCTCCCCGTTCCAGGCATTTTTTTCTATTCTTCTCTTTTATTCCAGAGATTCCAGATATTATCTCTTTTATTCCATTTGATTCCAGAGATCATTTACCAATGACAATTTTTTTAACGAAATACACATTTAGTTTCCTACTTCTTAAAATTAAATGATCTTCGTTAGAATTATAGCGTAATCCTTCTTTTTATCTTCTTACGACTGATTTTTAATTAATATTTTTCTCCTTATTATTCTTATCTAAATCTTTTAAATAACAAGAATATGTGACGGACTTAAAGATGTGAAAGTAAATGCGATCTCAAAAACTTCATTTAATAGATCTCTAATCGATTCTATCTCCTTCAGCAGGAAAATATTTTTTTCATTTGCTGTTACCATCTGAACAATTTGATTCAAATGAGCTCAAGGAGTTTGACTTTTCTCACACGCATTTAAAAGCAGATAAGCGTTGAGATAAGAGAAAATGGGAAAAGTATATCTTCATATATATATATAAAAGAAAAACCTAGTAAATCAAAGGGTGTTTCGACCATTTCTCTGCTGCCGAACTCATTTGCGAGGGAAGAAAATTTATTTCAAAGTAGGGCGCACGATATGCTGGGGATCAAATTGACTCGTTGTAATCATGTTCTTTGTTTTTTCAGCCGTGGGAAGAAAAAAATGACTGAAATGGATATTTTGAAGATTTCTTTTGGGAAGGGGAATAAACAGACAAGGAAATGAACAATGATGCCATCTTCATAAATAAGTAACCTATATAATGCAAGTATTAAAGCACGAAATACTACACCAAAGAGATGAGAGAATTTGAAACAGAAACTTTCGCGAGGAAATATTAAACTTTTAGTTTAATGCAATTGCAAAAGTTACGTAAAATGTTTCACTAAATTTAGTCGTATTTTCACAATTTTACTACAGAACTTCATATTTTTTACTTCCTTGTACGAAGTAAACGAAGTATTGTAATAACGAAAAATTCAGGTTACCCTATTTCAACGAAAATATCCATTTTTGACTGCCATCGAATGAAATTTGACAATTTTTTTGCGTGACATCTATACGTAAGGACAGAATAAAGGACTCTTTTTCCCAAAACGAATTATAAAACTGATTCAAAAGAGAATTTTTTCATGGCGTCTGTATGTACGTACGTATTTATGTATGTATGTCATGTAACTCAAAAACAGGTACCGTCAGAAAGCTGAAGTTTTGTATATAGGACTGATATAACATGTAGTTGTGCACCTCCCTTTTTGGTTGCAATCGGCAGCACCAAAAGTATATATATATATATATACATGTATGTATATGTATATATATATATATATATATATATATAATACCACTCTGTTACTCGGCTCGGTAAGCTAAGTATTTTTTATTCTTATATGTTGGTAAATTGTGTATTATTTGCTTTAAAAATGATTGAAATATACTGTTCTTGTCTTCCGGTTCAGGCGTTTATGGCTTTAGTTAATCTGCATGCAATAGTTGTAGAATTATCAGCAATTTAAAAATTGTTTAAGTACGGCTAGGCCTATTTTTTTTTACCGTAGCAGCCATATTTGTTTACATTTGAAATTTAGTATAATAGTGGAGTAAGTCTTTCTGCACCTTCAAGTGTCTTTTTGTCGGGTGGGACTTTTAGTTTTGTGCACCGAAAACTTTGCCTTCTTGCCTGCTGGCCGAATTGCTTATTTTTGTGTAAAAATTGTAATATTAATTGTAAAATTTGTTTTTTTTTTTACTTGTTTTAACTGTATTTGGTGCGTTATGTTTTTCTATATCTTTCAATTTTTAATGAAAATATTTTGAGTTTTTATGTATTTTTGCCTTGCCGAAGGAAGAACTGAATTAATTGAATGAGAAATATATCTCTAATGAAATTCGAGGAAATAAGTTTAAACCGAAATGCTCGAAATATGTGTATAATTTGATATTCCATGCAAGGAAGGTCATGGGGTGTACATATCAGACTTTTACCTAAAACATTGCTATAAGCAAAGCAATTTTCAGTTTTGATTCTTCACCAGTTATGAAGCATCTAGAATTTTCTTGAAGCTCACAAACATAAAGAATCCGCAGCGCCCACTCCGGAACTTCGATTGTTAATCGGACGTGCTCTTAATTAAATAAGGATAACAAAGCGATAAAGAAGGAAGTAAGGTAATAACGCCGTAAGGACGGAGAAAATTCCTTTCCTTCTTCTCCACTTAAAGGACAGTTTGGGAGGAGGAAACCCAGCCGCCAAATCCAGGTGGTCACGAATTATCTTGTTTCACATTTTAGTTCAGATGCCACTTATAAATTAATCATTATAAAATAAATTACTGAAAATATAAGGATACTAACACAGAAATAAACTTTACAGATTTCCTTGAAGATCTTAGTTGCAAATTTCTGAAATACTTGCTTTGTATATATTATATATATTATATTATATATACAAGTAATATATATATAATGTGTGTGTATTGCAAGTAGAGATTTTAGTATACATTCATCTTTGCAAGAGACTTTGCAGAAATTTTGCTCTTCAAGAACAGGAATCTTACATTTAAATAAAGAAAATTTAAACGCCTCCCAAAGATAAATTTTATTGGTCTTTTGATAACTAATTCGATTATTAGTCTATGATAATTATTATAAATTTTCTACAGTAGATAAATGAAATTTCTTTAAAACTTTTTATGCTCTTCCAAATTTATCAAAGAAAATCAGTTAATGATTTAATTCCTTCCTAGTTAACAGGTTTTATTTATGATTCTAATTACTCACTAATCAAAAACTTTTAAATTAATGACTATAATTTCTGACATGGCAAATAGTTTTTGCCTGATAATTTTAATTGCATACTAGTCAAACAGTTTTTTTTTTTTTTTTTTTTTTTTTCAATATCAAATGGTGTTTTCTTTGCTTGTAATTTTATCTTGACAACCTGAGCTAAAATATATGTTCCGATATAGATCCTTCCTGAAGTCGCTTTTTTATCGATTCCAAATTTTATTGTCACCATGTGATGTAAAGCTTTTACATATTTTTTAGACATTTTTTACTATCATGGTATTTAATCCAATTATCTCTTTTCAGGTAAATGGTATAAATACCCAAGGTGAAAATATTGCTGATAACGGAGGTGTGAAGCAGGCTTTCAAGGTACTTATACGGATCAGGCCAAAAGATAAAACATTCATTTTTATCTTTTTTATCTTAGATTTTTGCTTAAGCACAGATATACATTGATCAAATTGACTCACATCTAAGAAATGTTTTGCTAGCACAGAAACGCTTAAATTTGGTTTACATTGTTTCGGCAAGTTACATTTCCATTATCTGTAAAGAAAGCTGAGAGCTTATGCCGTTTTCGAATATTTTTATAACATTGGTAACTAAGAAATATTTTGCTGATAGATGAGAATTATCTTACTGAATAATACCTGAAAAGTGTTTTATTAAAATTAAAAGTTTTGAACTTCAATCCCCTGATTCTAACAGTTATATTAAGTTTAAACACGCTTTACTATCTATTTTCTTTTCCCATCTACTCTTCCCCAACAGAATGAATCTTTAGTATCGCGTTTTATGCAAATGAGTTAGAAGGAGTATTTAAGGAAGGTTCAACTTACTTCGAGAGATAAAGCTCAGAATTCCTTAAGAGGTTATCACATCTAGCGACGGTTCCTGCTAAACAGGACTTTTCTGAGAAACGAGATTCTGGTAGCATTGGCTTAAACAGGAAGATTGCTAAAAAAAATGAGCCATGCCGGAAGCGAAGTTCCGCCTAGCTACGGAAACGATGCACCGGCTACGCGGGAATTTTTGAAACCTCGCCGAAAATGTTTCGGCTGCAGCTCTGTCCCGCGTAGAGATCACCCAATCAGACGAAAGTTCTGCTTCTGAAGGATCGCGTGATCCCAATGTGAGGGATAATCGATTACTGTTTGGCGTTCAAGTCTTTATAGTAAGTGAAAAATGGTAACCTAGCTACGTGGGTTTCCTGGAAATGTGTGGGTTCTGAGAATTGTCCCTTCCGAAGTTAAGTCTCGTGTGGCCGAAACATAATGCGATTGGGACTTTAGTGAATCGCGTTTGTCGTCTGGATACTTCGTTCTTAAATCTACTACGCTCTACCGTTTTGCAAGTGTCTGTTGACAATCGACGGCTAGGTTAAATTAAAGGCCAAATACGTTAGGTATTATATTTGTCTAGCTTCGGCTAAGTCTGTTTAGTTTAGTGTTAGATTAGTTTCTTATTTTCTTCTCTTGAGTTCAAAGCCCGAGTGGAAGATTTCCTGTAAGCCCGAGAAGGGGCCATCTGTTATTATTTCTTTGCGTGAATAGAAGGGTAATTTAACCCTTCTTCAGACTCTGTCGTAAATACTCGAACTCAGCGATAAGTTGCTACTTAGTCAACTAGGTTCCTCTACATTTTAACACAGACAAAGTACTGAGGAACATTATAACTTTATATTTTCATATTTATAAAAGTTAATTTTTTGACGGAGTAAAGGTTCTCTTTATTCGCTGGGCTAGCGTCACTGACCAAGACTACGCAAGAACTATTATTTCCTGTAATTTTGAATTCAAAGCCCTGTATTTAATTTGAAATGTCTTCAAAAATTAAGCGAAACTGTTAGATTTTTATATATCTAATTAAACTGTAGAATCATTAGGATCATTTTAAGCAAGAGCTGTGAAAAACGTTTTATTTCCTCGCAGGACTCAAACTTGGTCCCCTGGAATATATGCGGCAGTTATGCTACCATTACACCACGAAGGAATGCTAAAAGAAGGGAGAAAATAACTTTTATACTCCTCTTTTTTAAAGGGCGACTGGGGATGAGGTCACCCAATCGCCAAATCCTGTTGACGGAGAATCATCATCACCACCTTTTAGTTCCGGCCCCACTGTTGAGTCATTAGGTTATTTTGAGACAGAGGACACGAAAAATGAGCAATGCCCTCGCCAGGACTCCAACCTGGGCCTCTCGAATACACGTCAAGTGTGCTACCGTTACACCACGAAGGCCTGCTGGAGGAAGGGGAAAAATACCTAATCAAGCAAATCATTAGTGACATTTTCAGTAGCATTTCCTAATTTAAGAAGCGTTCCCTTTTTTTAAATAAAAAAAATATATTTTTAAATTCCTCACTCACAAAACATTCATTTTTTATTCTTCACTCCGTATTGACATTTTATTATTTAGATGTACAGTCAAAATTTCTATATAACAAACTCGGTTTATAACGAAGGAACTTTATTAATGTAGTATTTATTGATGAATTATTTATGTTAATTTACCATTTATTTTGTGTTACGAATCTTTGCTGTTACTTATTCTTTTCCCTTTTCCTGCCAGAATGCAAATTCTGTTCGCGTGTGTTTAAGTGATGGTTTGAGGTTGTTTCAGACAGAGCGTGCTCCGCCTGCTGAAGGCCATGTTATTAGTTAATATTCTAGATAGCATCCCTTTCTACGGCGTTGCCTTAATCTTGTAAATAATGCTATCACGCCAGTGTAAGTTACAGCGCGTTTAAATATCTCTGTATAGCCTTACAGAGCTAAGGCTAACTTAGTTTCAACTTAATATTCTACTATTTGATCTCACGCCATGCTTGCTGGTTGGTTTTGTAAGTTACTTTAGTACCTTATTATGTTTCTGTTGCTTATCTAGACATCTTATCAAAGTTTATTCATAGTTGTAAATATGCATTTTAGATGAAAATGTGTAGTTGTAGGCAGGGATCTAAGCCCTGACTTTCGTACTAAGTAATTTTTCCTGTAAAATTTTTAACGCCTCGTGAAAGGAAAAAAACAAAGAAAAAGAATTTTACTTACTTCAGGTAATAGTAACTGTAATTAACTTATAAGTTTTTTCAGAGTTACTTTTAGCATCGCTTGAAGATTTGGAAGTGCTAATCACTCTTTCTGTACGATTTTCTTTATGTCTATTTTGTCAAATGATCCTTTATTCTTAGATCGGATACAGCGAACCAAACTTTTGGTCCCTTGGATTTCGGTATAGTGGTGTTCGACTATATTTACATTCTGAAGCATACTATATTGCTACCCTTTCAAGGGTCAGTACTTAAATACAGAGAAAGAAAGATGACAGTGATCAAAAGTTTTAGAATGTAAGATATTTTATAGTAGAATTGTGGAATCTATGTGGTAGGTGCTCATCTTTGAGGAAGCTTATGAATATTGAACTGATTTCAGAAAAAGACTAATTGAAGAAAATTTGCATTAAGACATTATCGAAAGATGAATGCTTTCTTAAAAATAATAAGATACTTACGTATTTTCTACCATTTTCAACAAGGAAACTGACGCCGATAACGAGCCAGCAACATATAAGAATGATGTCACAGCACATTCACAGATATCCGCTTTAGTTTAGACTAAAAACGATTAATGTGATTACGTTCGCCCATGGCTTTTCTGATAGCATTAAACAATGAAAAAAAAATATCCTTCCAAACACAATGGAGGTAAACTAATATAATATAAATATAACTAGAAATATATAAATACTTTTTTCACAGCATTATAGTGATGAAAAAGTCGTTACTAGGTGGATTATCCGCAACCGTTATACAGATGCTCTTTTATGAACTGTGTCTAATGTGTGAATGTCCTAATGACTGTACAGTCTTATGCTTGCCCAATCGGTATAATGGTTAGCATCGCTGACTGCTGTGCCAAAGGGCCCGGTTTTTAATCCCGGGGAAGGCATGGATGTTTGTACGTGTATAGTGTCGGTGCGGCATGGCGGCACTCTAAATATGCGGCGAGCCGAAAGTTCTCTCGTGTGGTTTGTTGGAAGGGGATAGGTTTGGGACACACTCGGACCGGTCTCCCCCGGGGAACTCTCCATCAAATTTGGGGGCGGAACTGAGCTAAATCGTACTGTCACCTGAATGGTTCTTAAAGCTGTTGCCAACGGTAGACGTATTCTAGCGCTCCTTGCCACAGGGAATCTCGTGGGCTTCGGCTGACTACGTTAGACAAGTGAGCAAATAACAGTCTTCTCTCTGGAGAAAAGAGACATCGGTCTAATCTTTCTCGAAATCAACAGAATTATTAAAAAACTACTCCAAGCTAAACGAAAGGTCCTTTTTATAGTTTTTAGTAGTATAGTTAACATTAAAAACAAACAGTTTGTTTACTTAATTCTTTACTTGGTTACGGTTTTCAATCATCTGGCAATTTTCAATTTTTTTTTACCTCGTTCGGAGAATTAACTTCGGATTGAAAAATTCATTCTATAGCAATTTGGTAACATTAACCGGATTGTTGATCACAATAAACGATGTATTTTCCGTATTTTCATATGCAGACGATCGGGACAGCAATTCGATAAGAATATCCGAATGATAATATTAACCACGATTGCATTAAGCGACGTCTATTGTATATAACCGCGATACACAGCAAGTCAATTTAGTTTTGTATAAACGCATTGATGAATTAACTGATATTTCTTATTTTTCTCTTGCATTTTGAAAAAAATGATTAAATTTTTGGACTTGCCTCCTACAGAACGCCAGATAGTAGAATGCTTTCAAAACCATGCCATTGGCTACATAACGCGTATATTCAAACTAATGAAAGACTTCGAGACTCGTCAAAGTAGCGCCGTAAACATATTGCGCAATTTAATTTCATACTGAAAGAAATTTGCGTACGCCTAAAATTCATAAAGAAAAAGACGACTACTTGTTGCTATTTAAATGCCATTAGAGAACTTCGGTCACCAAAATAATTGGCCTAAGTTCTAACAAATTAATGTATCAGATAATCTCAAAGCTAGAGCTCGTATTTTTATAAATTTTCTGTATGCTATATCTGTAGCTTATATCTAATGAATATCTAATTAAATAAAGTACAATATATGATTATCGAATTAAATAATGAACAATGTCTTTCTTTACACTTCTGGAATGACTGGCGTATGTTTGGCGGAATCATCTCCAACTTTCGTAACGGACGAGAAAATACGTAACTATCAACAATAGTTGAACTGCAAATGGGAAAATCAATTCGTCATCAGATAAATTATACCGAAATTTTGCTTGCGCAGTCATTTTCTATTTCGAAATGAGAAATGAACTGAAAATTATCTGCGATCATCACGGGGAAATTCTGAACCTTTTCGGAAAAACTGAGTTGTCATGTTTCATCAATAGGAATTATTTTGAGATGCTTCACGAAGTAGCAGCCAACAGCGCAATAAATCTTTCTTATTAAAATTTAAACTAATTAATTGGCTAAAATAATGAAATAAACCAGTTTCAAGATCAAGGAATAATTTATTGAAATTAAAAAAATACTTCTAATATCTTTTACAAATTGCGTATTATGCTATTATTTGAATAATTTTTATTATAAAATTCGGTAACTGTTAACGTTTTTGGTTTTATTATATGAAATTGTAGAAATGGTTAAAGATGAATGGATTCATTTAATCCTTTTGATATTCTACAGGCTTATCGTAGCTGGATAGCTCGTAATGGCGACGAACCTTTGCTTCCTGGTCTAAACTTGACACATGAGCAGTTATTTTTCTTGAACTACGCTCAGATCTGGTGTGGCACCATGAGGCCAGAAGCAGCTGTTAACATAATTCGTACAGGAGCACATAGTCCAGGAAGATTTAGGTAAGAATTCATTTTTGTTTTTTGTTATTCATAAATGTGTTTCATATTTCATAGAATTTAACAAGCAATAGAATTATTATCTCCAAATTTCTACTAGACGACAACAATACATTTATCTTGTAGCATGATCTACGTAAAAAATATGGTTATAGTAGCATTGCAACTAGGTCTGTGTAAATAAACATCGTCTATATAAAAACTTGTTCTCTTCTGTTATCGGACCTGGATTCAGAAATGTTAGCATGTATCGTATGTGTGTGTATGTATGTATGTATGTATGTAGATATATGTGGGTGTATACACATATGTACGTATGTATGCATGCGCGTACACACACGAATATGTACGTATGTGTATACATCCATACATGAACACATGCATGCATACACACATGCATACAAACATACATCTTTCAATCTGGTCCCGATAACAGATGATTACCTGAAAAATGAGAATGTAAAAGTTTGGTCCCTCAAAATACCCAACGGAATTTAAATAATTCTATTATCTCTAAATATTAGTTGTAATAATATAGTTTTAATTAAAGTATTGAACTATGTACGGTGACATCCCATATTGGATATTCACCAAAACTCCTCAAAAATAAGTTCCAGAATTGTTCTTGTTGATTTCCTCCGGATTCTGACGAAGTCAGACAAAGTCCAAAAGACCATTGACTCTAAGAATGTCGAGTGGAAAGAGAGGATTGATATAAATATCCTCTCTAAAGAGATCCAAACAGACCAAAATATGTTCGCCAGAAGTCGGATATTCTCGGCACTTGGTGCATGTGGAGAACATTTTCATAGCCTCCTTGAAAGAGAGCCACTTTGTGTAACCGCTGGAAATAACAACTCTAGAATTAGTTAAGCAATATCGAGAGAAATATGTACGTATGTGTATACATAATGACAGTTGTTTCCAGATTTTATTTATAAACGTAAATTTTTTAATAATAAATGTATCATAGAAGGTAATTATTTTAAACTAATTATTGTAAAAACACACAAAATTGCATACAATGAACTGACAAAAATAAGTTGGCAGTGTATCAGTATATGTATGCAGATATATCTCGCATAAGTATGCAGATGAAGCTATTTTTTCTTTTGTTTTCAGACTTATTTATTTATTTCTTTTTTATTATTTTATATTCTTCTCAAATTTTGACAGCTGTTTGTAAAAAAAAATGATGTTAAAAAGTCATGATTGTAGGCATGATTTCTATACACTAGAAATAAGTTTGCTTCTAGCCTCCACAATTTATAAATTGTCATGATCAATTTTTACATGCAAATAACAATGTACTGCTAGAGAATAATATAATTTCTGAAAATCAATTAATATTAAAAACGTACGTTACAGCAAATAATGAATCGTCAAAATTGAACTGTTAAAGTTTCAGCACAACTTTACAACAGTACTTAAATGTAAGCTTTGTAAACAATTTTATAGTTCTTAATTAATTCTGATAGTCAACAGATCATGTTTACAAAAATGATTTGTAACATGAGAACATCATGCCTGTTTTTAATGCAATATATAATGTCCTGAAACATGTTGCCTGTACCCACTACACTAGATAACATCTTAAAAATTTGAACTTGCAGAACTATGTATATCGTAATGTATATAATGTAATTTAATCCCTTTTACTTGAGCTAATTTAATGCTGAAAGTTTAGGAGTATTGTTGATGCCGCCGCCGATGGCAGTACTTGTAGTGCTCGCTGGAGTCACAATTTCCATCAAGACTCGAGGAATGATGCCAGAATGTTGTTAGTTTTCTAGTTAGTGTGTGGGGCTAATACCTGCTTACTTAGAGGATAAATATTAGGTGGCCCTCTCATTTCTACATAACATAACATAAACGTAAATTTGATGTTTCTGAGCTGAAAATACCATTCAGTTTGCGTAAGATCAACTTTCCACACAGTGTTCGCTAAAAAAAAAAAAAAAAAAAAAAGAAGAAGAAGAAGACATTTCGTGATTATTTTCTCTCTTGTGATGGTATTTTCTCCCTCCTTTCCGCATGCCTTCATGGTGTAACGGTAGCACATTCGGCACATATTCGAGAGATCCAGGCTCCAGTTTCGGCAAGGGCATTGCTTATTTTTCATACCTCCTGGTTCAAAAGAACCTAATGACTCTACAGTTGCGCCCGAACTAAAAGGTGGTGGATGATGATTCTTCACCACCAGGATTTGATGATTGGGTCTCCCAATCCCCAATCGCGCTTTAAAAGGGGAAGTATATAAGGTAATTTCTACCTCCTTTCTGCATGCCCTCGTGGTGTAACGATAGCACAATCGTCACAGATTCAAGAGGTTCAGGTGCAGGGTAGAGCATTGCTCATTTTTTACGTCTCCAGCATAAAACACCTAATGACTCTAAAATAGTTCTCCCTCAACACGTCGAGTGTCAGGCTATTTATAAGAAAATTCCCGTCAGGTCACACGCCCTTCCAATGCCATTCTAAAATTTTTAGTTAAGATTAGAAATTTTTTACGTTTAAATGCATTCAGGTCTTTGTCCAGTACAGACAAAAATCTTTCTTTAGCCTAGAACGTGAAAACGTCAATTTAGCGATAGCAGTGAAAACATTTTTGCTACAAAAAGGGCCTAAAGGGGTTGCGTTTTCGTCAACAAAGGAAAAGAATGCTGAAATATGGCATGACCTAAGAGGTGGTACACCAAAACTTATACCTTTTGCCTCCCCTTCTGGGTTTATAACTAAAAATTTGAATGTAAGATTGTAAGATCTTGTTCTCTTCACTATTATAAAGTTTAAATGATTTTACTAGAAAATCTGGCGACTTCTCGCACAGTCTTGAATAACACCAGCACAGAAGAAGAGTAAAATAAACCCTTTATTATTTGTCGAACTCTTAACACAAATGCATTACTTTGTACTTACAATAAAACCGACGACTCGCGGTGGAACTTAAGAATAATTTAACAATAAATCCAAAGATAAATTGCAGAGTTGGACTAACAATTTAATTTAAGCTAACTAGGCTGACTTAACAGCGTACCCGGCGAAAGACTTATTAAATGGCCACAAGGCGCATCAGCAACTCAGCGTAACAACAGCAAAGGCAAAATAGTAATGTGTGCTGGCTAGCGAAATCACACTTTGAGTAAACTACTAGTTTCTTCTGTTTTTATACTCTCTTCACTTGACTTTAAATTTGCAGGCTGGCCAGGAAGCGCGAGGGGAAAATGAGAGGTTCAGGAAAGATTACCAAACTTAAAATACTTACGCAAACTAAGGGAAACCGTACAAGATCAAATGTAGCAATAGAAATGTATTCTAGCAATATTCTAACTACTACTAAAAAGCACGATATAAACTAAACAAAAACACTCTGGAAAAGTTTTACAATACATTAATATTGCAAATTGTGCTATGAAGAAAATGTGGCACAGTTTGGTAGAGAAATGGTCAGAAAATTGACTAAACAAGTTGCCACATTTTGCGATACCTGCGAAGAACAACCGTTTTTATGTTTATCGTGTTTCAATAAAATCTATTATAACAATGTATTTTTTTAGTTTCGTATCGTATTTATCATTGTCAATTACCGGCGACTGTCGTCGCCTGAACGGAAAGGTTCAGTTTCAGTCGACAGTGACTGATATGGCAATCAAAATTGTCAACTTTCAAATACCAGTGTACCCATTAGTTTGCTGATTATTCTTTACATATGAGAACGCTTTACAAGAAACAAAACTTCGTGCTATGATTAAAACATGTTGACATCGTGAACAATAAAGAGCATTGGTATTATATGCTCTAAGAAAAATGTTTAGTTCATTTAAAGAAAATAAATACTCAGAAACGCAGCCTGAAAGCCAATTGACCTACAAGTTGTTGGAATCTAGTTCCCACTGTCTTGCACAGCAGTCTTAAAACTAACACAGCTGATTTCATCGGTCTATGTATAATGTGAAAATTAAATGCTTTTGTGGAAGTATTCCAGTAAAATGATGCATTTTTACATAACAAGATAAAGCTTGCTTAATAACTGCATCTTAACAGGATTAAAATTTGACTAATATGACACTTATTTAGAGAAAACAATGTAGCATGAACATAATATCTGCATTTAATGAAATTAATATGAACTGCATAAAGCGAAAATGATATTACTACAATTTCACGGTTTTAAGTCTATATAATGGACTTTATCTTAAATGGTGCATTTTATAATATGAGATATCTACTTTAGATAATGCTTCTGTACGTGATGTACGTGCTTCTGTGTAAGAAAAGGAATGGTACAGATTCCTAATGTCATTCTGGGATAGATTATTCTAGATGTTCTTTAATTGCTACTCCAGATCTTCAATATTCCTTAGCGCTGGTAGCTGGCAACTTCATATGCCTTATAAATGTTCAACTGGTAAATGATCAGGAGGCATTGCTACCAAAGGAGAAATGGAAACGCTCCAGAGGTATACGAGCCATGACAGATCAACTGTTATTTTTTTGCGAACGGCGCCGAGTGACGTGCCATGAAGCATAATATAATTGATCACAATACGTTATCAATATATCGCTGTGCTGTTAAAGTTGCATGCATGAAAATTAGGGGCGACCCGCTGTCACAAGAAATAGCTCTCTCACCATCATATCAGAAAGATTTGTCTTTTATCTCCGTACAACAAGATTGAGAGCTCTGCTCTCACCTCCTCCATTCACAGATGCGATGATGATCTGGCTCAAACTGCATTGACCACTGAGATTAATACAATGCCAGTCAACTGCCAACCATGGTGCTTGGACACAGCACTGTTCCAGATGATGTATTTTGGGGTATTAAAAGCAAATGCCTTATATGACATAACTTATATGGTGTCCTGAAGTGAAGGAAAGTATTGCAGGTAGTATGGAAGAAGCTACAACAAATTGTATCGCGGACAATGAAGAATTTTGATAAGTTTGGGCTCTCCGCACAGTAAGTTCTCTTGTCTCGTATTGGTGCAGCTTGGCCTACTAGAATCTTCATTTCATATATGCGTACTTTACATAAATAATTGGCACCAGCACCCTTGTACAACGGTATCCGTACGATCGAGGTGGCTGTGCACTGTTTGACATGGCAGCCAACTTCCCACGATTCGACCTTTCTCGAAATTTCTCAGTTTTCCGAATGCGTTGGAACGAGCTTACAAGTAGTTTGGAAAGGAAGCTTTAAGGCGAGGATGAATAAAAATATCACAGCATGCAACTGTTAGCTGTTTCATTAAAGTAAGATGCCAGTTGCGCACTATAAAGACTCTCCATGGTTGAAATAAACATTCCGAGTGGTTAAATATAAAACGTAATTGGGATTGCGGATAATTACAAAGTACACAGCGTTTAGCCTGAGAATGGAGCTCAGACCTAAGCTAGATGCCTTTTAATGCTCTATCATCGGAACCGATTCAAGGGGTCGCGATCACTCCGATCGACCCGGGAAGCCGTAAAAAAGCCTTATCGAAACTGCACCAGAACTACCGCTTACATACGCACCCATGGGAATTAGATCAATGTAACGAAGATCCCATCGCCTCAAGCAGCGAACTTAAATCAAAGGTGAACCGGGCCATCCAAACCAATCATCTTGTTATACGAAGAACTAGGTCAACTCAATATCGCCACGGAAAAGACAGCAGTCGCTTATATATAACACAGAACTAGGCAACAGATATCTGTTCGTCAACAAATAAGGTCGCTAAAACGAAGTCAAATTCCCAGCCCCCCATCGATGGAGGGTTTCCTCAAGGATAGCAGTTAATATCAAATACGAGCCCCCACAACAAGGTGCAGACAAGACAAAGCTGATGGAACGAGACAGCTTCCATCCTAATGCGACCTTATAGGCGCCTATCGGAATTAATGACATTCCGCCCTTGATCAATCCACAATGTTGCGACCCCACAGAGCAAGGGCAGACAAGGCAGTACCAGTATGGTCCCTGCCGAGTCTTACTCTGTCCCGAAAGCCCTCAGGCCTTCTGTGAAGTCTGTTATTATGCCCCCGTGGTTGAGACTGCCTAGGTACAGATCTTAACCTTTCATTTTAGGTACAGATCTTAGACTTCCCAGGCGTCTGAGTCAACCACCGTGGGGGTGCAGACAAGACAATACCAGTGCGGTCTGTGCCGAGCCTGAGCCTACCACCGGATGAACGATGGTTCTAGTCTCGTGAAGACTGATTTTATACCCACGGTGCCGTGGACTGCTTAAGTACAGATCCAAACCAGCACGCAAAAGAGTTCTCTCCGTTGTAGCCCGGGGCAAATCACAAAGTATAATAGTATTAGCACTTTATAATTCTGTTTCGTACTAACTAATATTATTCATTATTTTCAGGGTCATTGGAGCGCTGTCAAACTCTCAGGATTTCATCGAAGCATATAACTGCCCTTTGGGAAGCCCAATGAACCCTGAGCATAAATGCGAAGTATGGTAAAGGTTATTTCAAGGACTGAATGTCTTTTCATTAAATGACCAGTTGAGCAATTTGGAAAACATAACGGGTACCTGCATAGTTCGCGGACCATATAAGAGGCTGTTTTGTGAAGGCATGCCTAAAAAGAACTCTCATCTTTTCGTATGTGTAAATACACTTTTTATGGGATGAAAAATCCTTGCTTTAAAAAAATCACAAATACATGTTACTTTGTTTATCTGTTTCCAGTGGCTGTGTTCCTGCTTACAGATCAGTTAAGTGCAATAAACTGTCATGTTGCCATTCGAACGTAAACACATTCTTGTATTTTGCATTTTTATGTCAGATAACTCTAGATGATTTTACTTCATTAACTTCGTTCTTCAAGAAATTTCTTTTATGCTATGAAATCTGGTAACTTTCATTCAAAATTTACAAGCAATTTTAATTTTAATTTACCATAATAAAGGTAAACACACATACAGACACACGCACAAAAAATAATAAATAATATTTCCAAAAATACTTTATATGTCATAGAATACTTTATTTACAGAATTAATTATGAATAGTTTGTTGTAGTTATCGTACTTTGAATATCCTGAAAAGAAATAACACACATATTATGTATATAATAAAGTCCTAAACATGCATATATAAAGTCCTAAATAAATTCTTAAAAGTTTGGAAATAATAATAAGTGTTATAAGTAAGTAACAAGCGTTATATATAATAAGCGTTATATATACAAACGCTAATTTTTTCCCTCCTTCATTTTAACAAAATACAAAAACCTAATCTGCAGTTTACTTACTTGTTTGATTTCAGTAATCCTCTATGAATCATTTTTGAAATAATTATTTTAAATTTATAGTAAATATTAATATTATTTTTTAATATTTTTAAAAATTTATATTGAATATTTATATTGACATTTTGAAACAATATTTTAAAATCTGTATTAAATATAAATTCTTTGTGAAATTTTTTCTTGTATAGTTTGTAGTTATAATCTATTTAGGAAATTAAAGAATAAGAATTGTTTCAATTATTTATTCTGTAATATAATTGCATTTTTACCCGCTAAAGGTTGTAATTAAATAATTGCTTTCGTTTCTCTCAAAACTTAAAAACTGCATTAAAATCTGTGAAAGTTTCATTTTCGTATGCTTAAATTGTAAATAAAAAACTTTATGCTGCATTATTTAAGAAGGCCCTTTCTTAATTTAACAACAAATACAAAGAGAAATTTGAAAAGACATAATCAACTTCAGATTAACTGGGAGTTGATTAAGAACAAAGTTAAATTTGCTTATTTGAGGGAAATGAAAAAAATGCTATCACGAACGATCAGCGTAAAATAAAATAGTTTAGGGAAAATGCAAAAAGAGGAATTATAATGAAGCGAAAAACATCCCAAATCAAATAAAAGTTATAGTCAAAGCTAAAAGATCAATAAATTTTTGCAAGAGTTTGAAACCAATGACATTGATAAAGCTCTCTTGTAAATATTGTTCTTTAATGCTATTCATAACTTCTTTTCTAAATTATGTTTATTCTTTTGTTATTTATTTTGTTACTTTTTTACTGTTTTGAATACTAATTTACTCGTAATTTAAGTAATTTGAACGCAATGATATTGTTGAACCTCTCTTGTAAACACTGTTTTCAATGCCATTTTTATAATTCAATTTCTTCGCCTCGAATCTAATTTAACAAATTCCAACGCAGTGACATTTCTGAAGCTCCTTTATTCTTTAATGACATTTATAACTTTAATTTCTTTATTTCTAATGGGGGGTTATTCTTCTATTATTGTACGTTCTTTCGATTTTCAAATAATAATTTAGTTTGAATGCAGTGGCGTTGTTAAAGCTGTCTTGTAAGTTATGTTGTTTAATGCCATTTGTAACCTTATTTTTCCACTTCTAATGGCATTAATTCTTTCGTTATTTACAGTACGTTCTTCTTTCAAATACTAATTTAAGTAATTTTAAAGCAATGACATTGTTAAAACGCTCTTGTAAATACTGCTCTTTAATGCCATTCATAACTTAATTTCTTTATTTCAAATGGATATTGATAATCTTCCGTTATTTACAATACGTTCTTTTTTTTCGAATACTATTAATTAAATTTAAGTAATTTTAAAGTAATGACATTGTTGAAGCTCTCTCATAAACTATAATCTTGTTCTTTAATATTATTTTTAATTTCTTCGTTTGTTACGAAAAGTGTTTATTCTTCTGTTATTTACATTCTTTTTGTTTCGAATACTAATTAAATGTAAGCAATTTGAAAGCAATGCCATTGTTGAAGCTCTCTTGTAAATACTGTTCTTTAATGCCATGTCTAACAATTTCTTCATTTGAAATGGTGTTTATTCTTCCATTATTTACCATACGTTCTATTTGTTCCAAAACTAATTAAATTTAAGTGATTTGAACCCAATAGCATTGTTGAAGCTCTCTTATAAATGCTGTTCTTTAATACCATTTACAACTTAATTTCTTCGTGTCTAATAGCGTTTATTCTTTCCTTCTTTCCCTTTCGAATACTAATTTAAGTAATTTAAACGCATGGGCTTTGTTGAAAATTCCGCGTAAATGCTGTTCATTAATGCCACTTCTAACAGTGCTTATTCTTCTGTTATTTTTAGTACGTTTATTCTGTTTCGAATAATAATTTAATTTTAAGTAATTTGAACGCTATGGCATTGTTGAGGCTCTCTCTTAAATACTAATCTTTAATGTCATTTAAAACTTAGTTTTCTTTTTTTCATTTCTGTGGTGTTTATTCTTTCTATATTTTCAGTGTGTTCTTTCTTTTTCAGATACCAACATAATTTATAAAATCAAATGAATTTAGTCTCCAGATCAAACTGTTTGAAAACACAGGCAATTGTTAATAGAATATTTTTGTTAATTATAGTATAGGTTGCCCTTTCGCGCGTGCTTTTTAACTTTTTTTCGCATTAACTGGGATTTTGAGTTGAATTTATTACGAATTAAGCCAGCTAATCGGGAGTTGATTATGTCACTATTAATTTAATTTTTAGGATTCTCAATTTATAAATATTAATACGGAAAAATGTTTCGAATTAAAAAAACTATGTATTGAATTATAAAATTACATATATAATATTTTAACATTTAAACTATTAAAAAAGAAATGATTTTTTTTTAAATGTATTTGTTTGATATTACTTTAACCGTTTCACAGTTTAGGTAGAACTTTAATTCGTATACCTGTCTATTCATAACAAGTGCATCTTTTAATATTTTCATTACCATTCTTTGAAACAACAATTTACATGAATCAGTTGTAGAAAGCAATGCAGATGTCCCTTATTTCCATTAAACCTTTAGAAATACCACTAATTTATATGCAGTTCAACATTTAGCATTGAAATTATTGAAATCTGTGGTGTGGAAGATTTTTATGGTTTTCATATTCAAAACAATGTGCAGTACATTACTAAACATGAGTTATTTTCCTGATAAATTAAAACTTTAGATGGAAATTAATTAAAATATTATTTAATTTATAACAGATATTAGATATATTAAGCACTAAAAAAACACTAATATTTTGAAATAGTAAATTTTAGTTTGGAGTTTGATCTTTTTTATTATGAAACAATAGAACAGTATATTTTTTTAACTCAATGAGAAACAAAAATCTCGAAATATTTTACAAACTTAGCTATGAAAAATACAAAATATTATCAGTGCATTTTATTGAACTTCAACCATAAAATTCATGCAGTGTGATGTATCATTATAGATTGCAGGAAATATATTGCCAATTAAATCAAATTTAATAAAGATAAATTATATTAAATTTTAAAATTAAATGCTGCTTATCGTGAATGACTGCAAACATGGATGCAAGTATCATAAAACAAACATTCAAAGACAAAAAAAATATTCTTTTCTTTAAAAAAAAATAATTTGGACTTTCTTGTAATTTTAAAATGAAAGGTAGATGAATTAGATCCAAAACTGAAGTATGAGAATATGTTTTCCATATTTAGCTGCTGTATATTATTTCCTGTTTTGCAACAAATAGTATTGAATCTTTCACCTTCAATATTTTACTGTGTATATTTACAGAAAACCAGATCGTAATGTTCAATGCACTACTATTTTTTCATGTGAAATATTTGTATATAAACGTTACAAAATAATTAAACTTTTTTCATCTACATTACATATATATTGTTATTTTAATAATGTATAGAATAACTGTTTCTGAACAATATATTGCATTTTACTCTGAAAAAAGGAAGAAATAAGTATGAAATATGTCCAACATAGTTTATATAGAAAATGTTAAATGTTTATGAAGGAAGGATTTCGGAAATTATTGTAAGTATGTCATGAAAATATTTTACTGTGCATTTCATGTTTTGTTTAGAAAGCTTTGTATATAGCCATGACGTTGTATGATTATGCATAAATACATCAGATTTGTGGAAATACCTTGCAAATTTATGATGGCTTATTTTTATTGATTACTTTGTTCCATTGTGTTAATTGCAACATAGTCTATGTGAGTGTTCAAATAAATGTATGATATATTTAGTAAAACTTAAGGCTGCATGTATTTCTTTTTTGTTCTTTAACAGCTAATAACTCCAGAAATTATCAGTGCATTATACTGGTTATATCTATGCTTCATTCTGCTGGATATTGTACTACAGGCTATTTCCCCCCAAAATAGGCAGTGTGAATGGGAACAAATTTAAGTATTTTAACAACGTAAGGTTAATTTATTTGGATATTTTCTTGTTGAAGAGACCACTGTAATTAACTTCCAAAATTGGCAAACTTAGTCTGATTAGTAATGTGAGCATTTCAAAAGGTACTTACGTATTAGCCAACCACCCTGGCAAAATATGGCAATATTTTTCAGATGAAAAGTAGTTAGTTATCGGGTAAGTTAAAAAGTTATTTATCGGGTGCAAGATGGTGGTTTCGTGACTTTTTTTTCCAAAAGATTCCCAAACATCCATATTTATCGTAAGCAAGCAAACATTATCAACCTATGAAAAGTCAAAGTACTTTAGGAAGTTAAAATACAAATTTTAATTGTTAAATAAGCATTAAGTGATACATTAAAAAATAAACACTTACATTCGTCTCCAAATATTTGAATACTTTTCTGCGTTATTGTTCTCCCCAAGAACACAGCGATCTGTTTTCACTTAAAAAAAAAATCAGAGAGTTGCAGAAACTCGACATCCTGCAAATCTCAGCAACACCGGTAACCCACAAGCGCGTCTTCTCGTTGTCCTTTTAAAACTACTCCTCAAGTCGCCAAATTTCTCGCCAAACATTTTTGGAGAGAAAATCCACGCTGCCATATTACTATCTAAATTTTTTGTCTACATTTCGAACTTTTCAGCCTAAAATGTCTCCAAAAACGCGGTTTTCGCACATGCAAAAACCACGTTTTGAACACACAATTTAAGCTAAAAATCCGAAACAAAGACAAAAACTTTAGATAGCAAAACGTAAAGTTTCTAACCAAAAATATTTCACAAGAATCCATGTACACAGTGATATGTTTTAACTTTAAAAAAAAATCTACGAATTGTACAATCTAGGCAACGAACGAATCTACGAAGTACGCACAGCTCGCTTTAATAAATTAACATAACAACAATAAATTTCAAAGAATACCATGTACACAGCGTTTTGTTTCAACTTTAAAAAACATCTACGAATTTCACAATCTAGACGCTACGCACTAATCAACAAAAATAAACTAAAATAACTAAAATAAATTTCAAACAATTCAAAAAACAACAATAACGACCGAAATTCATACTAAAAAAGCAATGAACATAACATTCAACAAAATAAGAACAAGAATAAAATAAAATGCACTTACCATGAATTAATGCTTTTTCGAACAGCAGAAATACCAATTTCATACCGCCTTTAACATGCCGCCACGTAATCACTATCTTATTTATATGACAGCCTGTAATGACGTGATTTTACTTCGGCTACAAAATGGTTAATGTCGGAATGTTAACATATTAAAGCTGGGCTAAGGAAAATACAAACAGCAAATATGGCTGCCAAAGGCTCTGTCTTCTAAAACATTCAGAATCCACACCTTAAATACGCTGGATTCGTCATCCTGGAGAGCTAACGAAAATAAGTTACAGATCTAAATCATAAAAATCTGATGTGGACACCACATGATTTCCTTGTACGTCCTGTTAAATCATACACATTTCTTGCTCCGCTTAGTTAAGCATATTTCCTAAAATTTCATTAGAGATATATTTCTCATTCAATCAGTTCAGGTATCACTTGCGGCATAGCAGAAATACGAAAAAACTCAAAGCATCTTCATTAAAAATTGTAAAACACCAAATGCAGTTAAAAACACTTAAGAAACAATTTTTACGATTAAAACGGGAGTTTCTACGCCGAAACCAGCAATTCGGAGAAAATTTTCGGTGAAAAAAAATTGAAATTTAACTTCATTTTAAGGGTCCCGCTGGACGAAAAGACACTGAAGTTAGTGCATCAACTGACTGACTGACTTAATTCACTGTTCTACTAAGAGTTTCAAATATAAACAAATGGCGGCATCGTTACGCCTAGCGTCACTTAAACTTTTAAATTGTTCATAATTCTACAGTTATTGCATGCAGATTAACTAAAGGCATAAAACCCTTAATCGAAACATAAGAACAACAAAACTCAGTCACTTTTAAAGCAAAAAATTACAATTTGCTAGTATACAAGAATAAACATCTGAGCTCACTGAAACCGGTAACAGACAGAATATATATATATATATATACACTCTTTTGCAAAAAAATCGAAGCACCAAGAAGGACTTTTGCGATCTTGACGAAATTTGGTATGCAAAAACATCTTGATCGAACATGTAAATGATAAAGTTTCAAGGCAAATGAACAGAAATTGCGATCATAGCGCGCATTTCGAGTACGTAATTCGCAAAGCAAAAAACCAGTAACAGAAGCGAAAAGCTTATCTTTTTTTGTTGCTAACCTTGTAATTCCATAAAGAAGCAACTAAAGATGCCAGTACGACGATATCGAAGACCTTACAGATACCTAAACGACTTCGAACGTGGTCGCATTGTAGGGCTGCGTTAAGCTGGGTGGTCATACCTAGCAATAGGCCCTCACCTGCAGCCTACAGACACTGTTGTGCAAAGATGTTGGCAGCAATCGTTGCTACAAGGAAACTTCAGACGAAATGAAGGTTCTGGAAGGCCACGGAGCACAAATGCGAGGCAAGATAGGATCATTGTTCGAAAGACCGAACCGCCCCAACAGTATCATGTCGATTATTCAACGCACTACAGCCACGTTTATACCTCCCGTGGTACCGTCCACCATCTCACGGCGCTAGTCTGAAGTGGGGCTACGCTCACAGAGGACTTTAAGACGTTTCCTTTGACCCCAAAACATTGGTGGAGTCGTCAGGAATGGTGTCGCAGCCGATTGTCATGGCTACCATCAGAGTGGCATCGTATAGTGTTCAGCGATAAATCTCGCTTCATTGTTGAAGCAGATGACCACCTTGAAGCATTCTTGAAGATTCATGAAGATTTTTGAAGATCAAGCATGATTCTTGAAGCATGATCGTGTCTGGACAGGACGGGTCCAGCGGTCCCATTCAGCCTGTGTTTTACAAAGGCATACAGCCATAACCTCTCGTGTGATGGTGTAGAGCGCTATTTTTTATGACAGCAGGTCATCTTTAGTCATCATCCGTACATCTTTAACAGCTCAACGATATGTTGATACCATCTTGCGGCTGGTTGCATTAACCTTCATGGCACGTTATCTCGAGCCATTTGCCAACAAGATAATGCCAGGCCTCATACCGCTCGCATATCTCTGGACTGTCTTCGTGCGGTTGATACTCTTGCTTGGCCAGCAAGATCACCAGACCTTTCACCAATCGAGCATGGCTGGGGCATAGTAGGCCGCCAGATTCGGGCACCACAAAATATCGCAGATCTGCAGCGACAACTGTTGAATGCCTGGCAGAATGTGTCGCAGGATGACATTAGGAACCTCTACAATCCTTGCCTCGACGAATTCAAGCATGCATTGCCGCCAGGGGCGGTTCGACCAACTACTATTTTGAACACTCAGTGGGTGATTGTGAGCCGTGAACAGGTATTATGACCTTGATTTTTTAATCATTTTATTATCTGTGTATGAGCTATGCACATATTAAATTTCATCAAAAACAACCATTTCTTTCATGGTGCTTCGATTTTTTTTTTTTTCTCAAAAAGAGTGTATATAAGTTTGATGCAGCCGATTGCAAAGAAAAAGGTGGGAGATGAACAACTAGATACTATAGAAAAACCATAAACAAAATTTCAACATTCCACGGGTACTTGATTTTTATTTATTCGAGATGCATTTATACACCACGAGAAACTCTGTTTTGAATCCATTTTAAATCCACTTTTACAATTCGTTTTGTAAGAAAGAGTCCTTTATTATTCTATCCGTTGTTACAGATGTCACGCAAAAACATTGTTCAAATGAATTTGACGTAGGTCACAATGGATATTTTCCTTGAACTGTGATGCTCAAAATTTTACTATTACGGTTACAATACTTCTTTTACTTCGCACAAGGAAGTTAAAGTGAGTTAATTAACATAAAACACCGTTAAAAGCGCTAAAACACCTTAAATCTGCCGCCCAGTCTGATAGTGATTAGCGACGCTGATTGCCGTACCGTAGGGTACAAGTTCGAATCCCGCACAAGGCATGGACGTTTGTAAATGTCTAGTCTCTGTGCGACATGAAGGCACTCTAAATATCGAAGAGCCGAAATCCTTCCCGAGAGATTAGTGGTAGGGGAAGAGGGTTAGGAGACCCTCGGACCCGTCCCCTGGAGTTCTCTTCACCAAAATCAGGGATGGAGCTGGGCAAAATCGTAGTGGCAACTGTATGGTGCCCAAGTCTCTTGCTAGCGACAGGCGCAATATTGACCCCTTGCCACGATTAATTTCATGGGCTTGATACCTGATTTCATGTTACTGTCGATTGGCTGGGACAGCAATCGACAGAAACAGCAACTACAAGAAACCTTTATTTCTCACTTAAAACCGTTGTTTTGCAGCATTTTATCGGCTTTATTTTTTCAGGTGCTTTAGACTTACCTCGAAACAGTATAGAGTATTCAATATTGAATGGGACAAAATTGTGTACGCTGTCATTACTTTATTTTAATAAATCAAATTTATAGAAACTATAGTCATTCAAGTTTCTATAGATGATCTATGTGTTCCCCTCCAATGGTACGATAACTATCAATACAGTATTCCAGTTCCTGCCACACTCGTGGTAGAATATCCTTTGTTAATGATCCGATCACTTTTTTTATCCGCTATTACAGTTGCTGTTAAATTCTGGGGAAATGGATGCAGGACAGGACAGGACAGGAAAAAGTGCAGGGGGCACCACGACATCGTCATAGACAAAAATGGTATTGCCCCACTGCACTAACCTTTTCTGGCATTTATTAAGACAAAATATTACATTTCAAGTCATTACATTACGCAGTTGA